GGCACCGAACCGACCGGCTTTGGGGAGAGGGGGTGTCCGCCGGTGCCCGGTGCCAGCCCCGGGCGGGGCGGGTTTCCCGCTGCCGGGAGTCCCCGGCGCCCTCCCGGCGCTGCGGGGGCGGAGTGGCGGCAGCGGGGGAAGGGGAGGGCTACGCCGTGCGTGTTTTGGGGAAGGCGGTGAGATGGAGAAGGGGAGGAGGAGGGAGAGAGAAAGGAGGAGGCGGAGGAGGAGGGGGCTGTGGAGAGACGTAAAACTGTCACTCGGTCCATCCCCTCCGCTCGCCGACTTTGTGTGTCTTTGCGTATCGAGAAGCGGTTCAGCCGGCGGGGCTGCGCTCGCCCCCTCCCCCGCCTCCTCCATCCCTCCCTGTCCGGCTCCGGCGGCTCCGGCGGCGGCTTCCTCCCTGCACGACGCGCTCGGACCCCCCCGGGCCGCAGGGGTTCCGGCTGCCGGGGCCGGCGGCGGGGCCGGGGAGGAGGGGGAGGCTGCGCGGAGCCGCCGCCGCTCCTCTCCGCGCTGCTCCGTTCGCACACCCGGCACGGGATGCTCGCGGGACAGAGTTTGCCATGGCAGCTCCCGCTGCTGCTCGCAGCCCTCTCCTGCCTGCCGGCTCCCAGCTGCGCTCAGCTCCACTACTCCGTGCCCGAGGATCGCGAGCCGGGCTTCTCTGTGGGCGACCTGGCCAAGGACTTAGGGGTGGAGGTGCGGAGCCTGGCCGCCCGCAACCTGCGCCTGGTGAGCGAGGGCGGGCAGCGGCACTTCCAGGTGGACTTGGCGGCAGGTGTGCTGCTCCTGGACAGCCGGCTGGACCGGGAGGCACTGTGTGGGCAGAGCCCCACGTGCTCTCTGCACCTCCAGCTCGTCATGGAGAATCCCCTCCAGCTCCACCGTGTTGAGGTGGATGTCCTCGACGTGAACGACAACGCGCCCCAGTTCCCCAAGCCTGAGGTGGTGTTGGAGATCACTGAGGTAGCCAACCCTGGCACTCGGCTACCCTTGGAGGTAGCAGAAGACCCGGATATGGGCTCCAACTCCATCTCCACCTATGAACTCAGCCCCAGCAAGCATTTTGCCCTGAGCATCAACGTGAGAGGAGATGGTGTTAAAATGCCCGAGATTGTACTTGAAAAAGCACTGGATAGAGAGAAAGTGCCTGTTCATCATCTGACACTAACAGCCCTGGATGGAGGGAATCCCGTGAAATCTGGCACTGCCAGGGTTACCATCCATGTTTTGGATGCAAATGACAACCCTCCTGTCTGTGACCCACCCATATCCAAAGTGCTTCTGGAGGAGAATGTGCCAGTGGGCACTCTGGTCACCAAGCTGAATGTCACCGACCTGGATGAAGGTCCCAACGGGGACGTGGAATATTCTTTCAAAACCAGCAATAATGCACCCGGTAAATTCAGCAAACTGTTCTCCTTAGATGCCCGTACAGGGGAGATCAGAACCAAAGCCCCGCTGGACTATGAGGAATCCAGTGCTTACGAGATTGCAGTTCGAGCCAGGGACAAGGGATCCCCAGCCATGGAAGGCCACTGTCACCTGCGAGTGGAATTAATTGATATCAACGATAACAGCCCTGAGATCGTGCTGACCTCTGTCTCCAGCCCAGTGCAGGAGGATGCAGCCCCAGGCACTGTGATCGCCCTCATTGGTGTGAAGGACAGCGATTCCGGTGACAACGGGCAGGTCCGTCTGCAGATAGCAAAAGAGCTCCCATTTAAACTCGTGTCTTCTTTTAAAGAGCATTTCTCGCTGGTCACCAGTGGTCCCCTTGATCGGGAGAAGGCCAGTGGATACAACATCACAGTGAGGGCTGTGGATTCAGGGTCCCCCCCGAGGGCCACACAAAAAACCTTTTATCTCCGTATTGCTGACGTGAATGATAACGCACCGAATTTCTCCAGCCCTTTTGATACAGCTCACGTTCAGGAAAACTCCCTCCCTGGAACTTCTGTCTTTTCAGTGTCAGCATCAGACCCTGATGAGGGTAGCAATGCCAAGCTGTCCTACTCCATCCTGGACAGCGGGATGCAGGATGCACCTATCTCAACCTACTTCCGAATAGATCAGGACAATGGCACCATCTACACTGTGCGAGCTCTGGATTACGAGCAGGACAAGGTATTCCAGGTGCCTGTGGAGGTGAAGGATGCTGGGTCTCCTGCTCTGAGCAGCACTGCTGTGGTCCATGTGTTTGTCCTGGACGAGAATGACAATGCTCCCAACATTGTCTACCCGTCTGTCCCCAAGGGCTCTGCCTTCCACCAAGCCATCCCGGCCCTGGCAGAGCCTGGCTATTTGGTAACTAAAATCGTAGCAGTTGATGCTGACAGTGGCCACAATGCCTGGCTGTCCTACCAGCTGCAGGAGTCTGCTGAGGCTTTGCCTTTCCAAGTGGAACGCCGCTCTGGAGAGATAAGGGTTGCACAGGCTCTCAGGGAGTCAGAAGATTCCCACAGGCTGGTGGTCGAAGTGAGGGACAATGGCACGCCGTCCCTCTCGGCCTCTGTGGTAATAGTCATTTCTCCGGAGGAAAACGGCATGCAGGACTTCTCCAAGTCCTTGGACCTCCCCCAGCCTTCTTCTGAGGATACTAACCTAACTCTTTACCTCATCATCTCCTTGGTGTCCATCTCCCTCGTGTCCTGTGTGATGTTTGGGCTGGTGGCTGCCCGGTGTCTCAAAGCTGGCAGTGCCAGCTGGAGCTTTGCGGGTTGCTGCCGAGGGACTGGCCGCAAGCCCGCCTCCCATTTCCGAGGGCAGATGAAGCCAGATGGCTTCATCAAGTACCTGGACGTGGGAGGAGCGGGCTTGACCTCCCAGGCACAGAATTACACCTCTTGTTTCTCGCCCATGTCCGAGCAGAGCGATTTCCTCTTTGTAAAGCCCTTCAGCCATTCTAGCACTGCGGAGACCGTGGCTGCCTATGAGCAGGTGACCAGCACCTTAGCGAGTCCCTGCGATGGGGTAAGAGATGGCTGTTTCTTACTGTGCTCTCTGCTGGGTGCAACAGTTTGTCATATCCAGGCCACTTGGCTGTTCTCTGTCTGTCCTTCCTCCTAAGACGGTGGCCTCAGGGAACATGTGTCACTGTCATCTCTTGGGAGGTGGCAGGTGAAAGTTTTGGCTCGGCTTGGTGGAGGTGGGGGAAGGGGCTGAGCAGTGTTATAGAATCAAAGACTCTGTGTTTGTAGCAGTGGAGAGTTTCCCCTTGGCCCTGCTCGTACTTGTTCCTATTTAAAGTGATTCTTAGCGTGGTCAGGAGCACATTTTCTGGGGGTTTAACTTCTTGGTTCTGTTTAACCCATTTTTCCTACCTGCACATGAGCTGTGGTGCAGAGGTGGTTATCTGAAAGGAAAGTCTGCCTGTGTTTCTTTTGCTCAGTTTTAGAGGTGTGTTGTAGAAATTTCTCATTTCTCAAACCCCAAGTGTTATTAATTACTGACTGTGCCTCGGCAAGGGATAATTTTCCAGCTTGGTCATGTTGAGCGAGGAGCTAAATTCAGTATTCAGCACTAAAATACTGAAATTTCAGGAGTGACACTATTCACAAAGATCCTGGTGACCTTATGTGCCCTTGGGCTTGCAGAGGCTGAGGAGCTGCAAGCTTTGAAAACTTGAGCTGTTTGTACTCGGATGCCTAAATATAGATGTAGGTGACTGTGTTTAGCTGGAGCTTTTATAATTTTGGGATATAAAAAGGAAAGCAATTTTGTGTCACAAATGCCTGCCCTAAATTTGAAAATGGTAATTACAACAGGAATTCAAAACATGGTAGGGCTATTCAAAATATTGGGAAGGGCTTATCTAGTGCAGTATTGTGTGTCAGTGTGTGGAAAAATGCGCATCTGAAATCTGGAGGGCAAGTCTTTAAACAGCTTCATTTGCATGCAGCATGGGGACCAGTGGGGCATCTATTTTAGGGGAGTAATTTATTCTAATATCTTCTTTCATGAGTATCATCAAAGCTGCAGAGAAATTAGTGAGAGCACATCTACTAAATAAAAATCTAGGTCAGCTGTACTCGTCTTCACTTTTCCTTAGTAATTGCATGTACAAGCAGAATAATCCTATAAAACTGATGTTCCACTATGTAGGGACTATGAACTGCTCATTCCTAAAATAGCTGAGGGAAGTGTTGTCCTTTCCAGGTAGTATGTCATCCCTCTGGAGTTCATTAGGATGATCACGATTTTCGGAAGTGTGTGTGTTTTCCCGACAGAAACAGTCCTGCTCTTTAGTGCTTTCCACAAAGGCGTGATTCAAACAGGAATATACAAGCTTGCTCCATCTCCTTCCTTATTTACAAAATGTTCATTGTCTGGTTGTAAAATAACACGAGCAGAGAGTGATATGGGGGCTTATTAATGAGGTTACAAAATGTGCTGCTGTGTCTGAAGGTTATTGTGTCTCCTAAACAAATAATGCTTTTTCCTCTTGCTGTCGGAAGTTTATTCATTTTTTCTGTGGACAGAAAAATATTGTAGTGCTCCAACAGCTAGGAAAAGTCGTTCAAATACCATGCATAAAAACAATGTCTCAGGCAGGCCTTTTTCAGGACAGAAGAAGGAGAGAGGAAGGTCTGTTACCATTTTACCTTAGAGTATTAAGAGCATCTTTCTGAGTATCGATTAACTTTGCCACCCCCTCACACCCCCCTTCCTCCTCCAAGCTCATTACTGTGGTACCACTGCTCCTGCTGAATTCATGCCCTTATCAGTTTATTTCATGCTTCATTTCTTTCACAGCCTGGTTTCCTGAGCTGCTTTGGAAGATTATTCTCAGAACAGTTTTTGTCATGCTTTTTGGTATTCATGCTGCTTCAGAAATACTCAAGAAAGGGGGAGGGGGAGCTCTCTCTTTGTTCTAATTGATTTGTTTCACTTGGACAGAACATGCTGATATTCCAGACTGAAATAATCCAGGATCAGTTCGCTTTCATTTTCAAAGGCAAGAATGGAGGTATTAAAACTCTTCTTTTTCTTTGCAGCAAGCTCAGCCTAACACAGATTGGCGCTTCTCTCAGACCCAGAGACCTGGAACGAGTGGGTAAGTGGCTCTTTCTTCATTTATCTGTGGGATGAAGTTTTCTTTTCTTGGTACGCCACTTTCAGAGCTGCAAAGGCCATGAGTGGCAGCTCTGAGAGCGGGTGTCCCTGTCATTGATGGAGTCAGAAATAGGGCTGCTCCTGTGTCAGCTGTGTTTGGTGGGGGTGTGGCAGCTGCTCTTGGCTGTGGTGTGTCTGGGTTTGCTGTCTGCACCTCAGGAACTGGAAGGAACTCCAGGTGAAGTTGGGAGATAGTTAGAGGACTGGACAATGGGTTTCACAGAGAAAGGCCTCTTTGCTAAAGCAGATTCTGAGCATGTAAATTCCTTCCTGAGTCAAAAATCTTAATTCTTCTCCCTTCATGGAAGCCACTGGAAATCACTCCCTTGGAGTTTCCCATTGAACCTTGAGCTCTGTGCTGCTGAGGTGAGCTCACCTCAGGTTGGGTCAGATGGAGGGAACCACAGAGCTTCAGCTCCTCCCACCTCCCTGCTCAGCAGGGTCACCCCAGAGCACAGGATTGTGTCCAGCCAGTTCTGGAATATCCCCAGTGAGGGAGATTCCACCACCTCTCTGAGGGGTGTGTGTGAGGTCAGAAGAGAAGCCCCAGCAGCAGAGCAGAGACCTCCCAAGTGAGTGCCCTGCTCCTGACTGGGGCTCTCGTGCCTCTGGCCCACCAAGGTTTGCTTGTCTTGGTCCACAGCGAGAGACCACTGACAACAAAATGTTGTTCTTTGCCTCCCCCATCTTCTCTCCTGGTTCATGGACAGGGATCCCCTTCAGAGGGTGAACTTCCTTGAAAGAGAGAGCTTTACCTGAATTCCACCTTTCTCTGTGAATACCCCAACCAGAGGTTACTATGTATGAGGAGACTGGCTCCAGGGTAATTTATATGTGAAAAGATTATATCTTTTGTGGCATACCTGAGGGTTATACTCTCTGAATGATCAGGAGTAAATCTGGGTGATGTGCTCCCTCATCTGCCTGGCTCAGGTGCTGTATCTCTGTGCTTTGTCATTCCTGGTGGCCACTTGGGCAGTTCCTGTGGAGTTTAAAATGGTGATGTGGGAGTAGTGGATGCTGGATTTTGGTGTCAGAGCTTGCAGTTAAACATCTGCAGCAGCTGTTTGTGCCTGACTCTTTCCCTGGGACTGGCTCAATAATTTATCTTATCAGAAAATTAAGAGATTGTTATAGCCAACTTGTTGAAGTGATTAAACTTTGCTGTTCCAGCTGATAAAGCTAAAATGGAGTGAGGGTTTGATGTAATTAGATAAAGTGCTCATAGTAGAAGCTGGCCTTGGACTTTAAAGCAAAGCTGTAGCTGGAATAGTTTTCTCAGAGGTCTGTTAAGCTCCCCATCACTGACAACATTTTAATCAAGGAAAATCTATCTAAGCATTTCTGCTCTAGTTCAAATGACAATTAACAAAGCCCTGTTAATGAAGAAGTGCACCACAGCTGCTGTAATTGTTTTGCTGTGAGAAGGCAGTAAATGAGCCCCATCAGAGCAGGCTCTGCTGCTCCCTCTTCGAGCATCGTGCTGGGGCTCTTCAGGGCACGGAGCTGATGCAGCCCAGAGCCCTCAGCTCAGGGACAGGGACTTTCCTCAGGTCGTGGGACAGTGACACTCAGCCAAGCTCCCAGCCTGGATCTCTTCACAAGCTCCATCCCCTCCCCAGTGCCTAAGAGACAGCAGAAACTGGTGTGGGAAGAGAGAGGGCAAGAGGAAAGGCAGGCTCAGAGTGTGTGTGGGGAGCTGAAGGAGTGGCACTTGTTACTGCTGGTGCAAGAGCCACGGTGTCCCTGCTGAGCAGCTGTGACCTGGGTGCCAGGACAGCCCCTGGAGCAGCTGCTCTTCAATCACAGAATGCTTTGGGTTGGAAGGCACCTTCAAGCTCATCTTTTTCCACCCCCTGCCATGGGTAGGGCCACCTTCCTCTGGCCCAGGTTGCTCTGAGCCCCATGGTGTGACAGGGGGTCCCACAGCATGGGCTGAACCCTGACTTTGGAAAGAGATTTTGCTGAAGCACAGGCTGCTGTTGAAATAACTGGAAAAACTCAGTGGATTTTAATTCCTGCTGGTTTTCCCCATTTGCCTGTTTCCACATTTGCAACAAAACTGCTCTTGCAGATTTTTTCCCCCTGTTTCTTTCATCCTGTTTTAAGTTAAATGAAGGGGGATGTTTTTAATCCAAACCTGTGTGACACTATTAAAGGATGGAAATAGAAAGTGCTCTCATATGTTCAGTGCCCAGCCCTGACATCTCCCTGGTGATCAAACAGGCAGATCCTGGAAAGCAGCCCACTCCCCATTGTGCTGTTCCCCTGCTCTTCCCAGAGTTTTGATGCCTGGTGTGTGAATTCCCCAGGCACTGCTTGGTAGTACAGGCATTAAAGAGGGGGCAAGTGCAGCTGCCTGAGCCCGGCTTGCTGTTCTTTCTCTGCTGTTAAACCCTGTACAAATGTGTCTCCTGCTGATAGGTGAAGCTCTGTAGCACCACGAGCTCTCTGAACTGCAGGGCTCTGCTTGGTGCTAGGGAAGCACAGCCTGCCTTTCAGCTGAAAATCAAAAAAAGGGATGTGCTCTCAAATGTGACCCAAATTAAATAACAATAAAGACACAGCAGCTTAGGGCAGGGGTTTGGATGGGTCGTGGGGGGAGCCTGGCACTGGCCCTAAGCCAGAAACAAGCTCAAACCTGTGCTGGGATTTCTGCCTTGCTGTCTCCATGGGAGCTGGGGAAGGAACAATCCTGTCTCTTCTCCACATAGCCCTGCCCATCACAACAAATCCCACATGTCTGGGCACCTGGAACCAGGCAGAGCAGGGGAAGCTCAGTGAGGCAGGGACCAGCTCTTGATCTCTTCGATGCTGCTGCTCCAGGACAACAAAGGGAGTCTGCTCTTTGTTCTGAACCACGGGAGAGCTCTGGTGCACATGCTCAGGAGGCAGGAGCTCAGACAATATGCTCTGAAAATGTGGTAGCGAGGCAGACCTGAGCAAAACAGAATTAATCTTGTTGGGGAGAAATAGGAGGATGGGATGATTAATGATGTTTGTGGGTTTTCTTTCTTAAAAAAAAACCACACCCATGCTGTCGCTGGGCAAATGGGAATGAATCCAGGCTGATTCCGAGCAGCAGATGCCATTCCTGGGTAAATCAGATCAGTGTCTCTAGCAGAGATTACAGTGATGAATTGGCCAAAGTGCAGTAAATGAATGTCCAGCAGCATCACAGGGTATCCCTGTGGGATCACCACTGGGGGGTTTTCCTGTGGGAGGAGGCTGGTTGTCTCTGGGAGGAGAGTGCAGGGACTGGGGCTGCTTCCAAGGACCCATCTTGTTGTTTTGGTTTGTTTTCATTGTTGTGCCCTGCATGTTCATGGTGCTGCCTGACCCTGGCTGCTCTTTGTTTTGGGGTGTGAGGATTTGTTTACGAAAACACCGGGCTGGAGTCAGGATTTCCTTCCTGGAGGATGGGGAGGGCTCTGTGTTGCTCACAGGTGGACATGACAGGGTGAGACAGGTCTGGGAGGCATCTCGTGGCAGGGCTGAGGACACTGCTGGGCTGTGTGGGCAGGCTGGGAGGGGGTGGCAGG